AGTGTTTGTCTGCTGCTTTCACCACAAATAGCTAAATCTGCAGGTTAGTGCTCCTGCCCTTCCAGTCTCCCAGAGAGAGTTTTGCTACTGCCAGCTCCAGTTTGCATGGAGGAATTGGTCCTTGTACTTCCTTGAATATAGGTTTTCCCTTACCCTTCCAGCCTCCTCAACGAGGGAGAGCCTTGGAGGGCAGTTTCCTTGTATTCATCTCCTAGTTTTTTATATTCTAATCTTCATGATGTGGCAGAGGATGGATGGAAAGAGCAGTGCAGTGTAACTCGCTAAAGGAAGAACCCGAATCTCTCGCTTAAAATTTACTTGCTCAGTTTTGACAAGGTACTGACATAGACCTAACAAAAGTCTCTTCCAATATAAAGGTCCTCAAGAGAAGAAGAAAGAAAAGATTAATTCACATCAAAAAGAGACTGAGAACTCAAAAGTAGTTATAAAGTGGAAGGAAAAGAAATACGTGAGGATAATCTACCGGAATTAAGCCCTTACCTTGGGCTAGATCCTTAGCTGATGTAACTGATGTAACCAAGGATCTGGTCCATGGAATTTGGAGCCTTAGTCTCTGATGCTGGTGTTTTAGATGGCATTGCAAATGATCCTGTTCTTCCTTCAGTGTCTGTGGACTCCTCTGAAATAGATTTCTTAGAACAGGGTATGCATGATAGGCGCAGATTGCTGAGCTACCATTTTGTTATTTCTTATTTTTATCCAAAGGCAACATTGTCTGTGCCAGTGAAAGGACAGGATTCTTTCTTTCCCTTGTTCGTCATTCAGTCATCGAAATCCAGGGAGATAACAGCTTTGAACTTTAAATTCTTCTCTATTTAAATTCTGCTTTTTTAAGAAAGACTGTTTTTGATTCTGTGAAGGATTATTATTGAGAATCTCCCTGACGAAATGCCATTTTATTTTATAATGGCACTGGTGATGGCAGTATAATTAAGGTGGCAACTATTTTTGCCTCTTATGTTTACTTTCCAATATCAACATTTTAATAAATGCAGTATCTCGTTTGCAGTTTGCCTTCAGACAGATTAGCAGAGAATGAGAATATTTTGCAATAATATTAAAGATATTTTCCAGTGATAGTCTTACATGCTCCTTTAGAAAGAAGACCAAAAAAGTGTAATAATGTGGGTTATAATGTTTAGCTTATTCTGCCTTGATGCAGCTGCCAAAAGTTGTTCAAAATCCGTATTTCTGTGGAATGCATCTTTATTAGCCAAGACCTTATTTGAAGACCCTCTCACATGCCAATGTGAAGCAAAAGCCAAGAAAAGCTAAGAAGTGTAAGAAATTTGCTGAGTTAACAACACCTGGCCCGGGAAGCGAAGAGAGCCCTGTGACATACTATCAAATTTCCACCTTAACCCTGTAGCAGCGGAGTAACAGGAATTTCAGCTATAGGCGTGTCTTCTGTGTCTTAAACTTACTTTCTATGATTTGATTCCAAAATCTTAGTTTCTTAAATCATATTTGATCATAGTTTGGACTCCGAGTGGTTGTGTTGAAATAAATGAGGCTACTGATGCAGGAAAGTGCAACTCAATTTGCAAAAAAAAGTTATCAGAATCTAGAAACTGCAGGCATGAAAATGATACGGAATTCTCTGCCGAACTCAGTCATGCACTTCATTTAGGTAGGCTTCTGGGGGCTTGCCTTAGGTTAACACATTTGCTTCACTGGAATTAATCATGCGAATAGAAAGAACATTCATGTCCAAGTATGTATTTCCTCAGATTTTCAGTCATTAAACTGGAGCAAAGTGTATCTCTTCTTCACATTTGAAAATAAATACAAAGCAATATTTTTCTCCTTGTAAATACAATAGTTCCCTTATAATGCTTTGGCTGCTGGTAATATCATAAGGAGGCTTTTATTAATTCTTTGACAACACTCCAGAGGTTTGAAAAAATCTGACTCAGTTCGCTAGCAGCGAATCGGACAATGGAGTTCTTAGTACGGAGTTTGTGGTCATCTGATTAGGGAATGAAATCAATATTTATGTTTTATTCTATTTCTACAGGTCCTGTTTTAATCTTCTTCCAATTTCTCCCTGGCAGGTGTGATTATTGTCCCAAGTGCTGGTGTTGGTATTGTCCTAGGTGGCTACATTATAAAAAAACTGAAACTTGGTGCGAGAGAGTCTGCAAAGTTGGCCATGATCTGCAGTGGTGTGTCTTTGCTGTGCTTTTCAACCCTCTTCATTGTTGGATGTGAAAGCATTAATCTAGGGGGGATAAATATACCTTACACAACTGGGTAAGTATCATTGAATCATTTGTAGCAAAATCAGCTTTTTCCATAAACATGGTAAAGAGATGTAAAAAGTGCTGATGTATTGAAGAATCCCTGTGCTCAAGTAAGAATTTGATGAGTATCGTAATATAAACACATACTGTTACTATGTGGCCCTTCTGTTTTACATTTGAATTGTAATTACGTTTATGTAATAACTTACCTCCTCAAAGGATGGGAAGATGCCTTAGAAAGGACGTCACAAAGAAGTTATTTTCACAAGAAAATAACAGTAGTATCCTATGTAGATTGCTCAGGGTTTAGTTACTGTTTCTTGAAACGGTTTCTTTTCTACTCGTGTAAATTGTGAAAATAATGAAGGGATTACAAAGATTATTCCTGGTTAGGTTAATTTAATATAATCATAATAACGTCTTAGGTCTACAGTCCCCATTTGACAGAAATCATTTAGGCACGTGGTATTAACATCTGTGGACCTTAACACTCCCCCTGAATCAGTCATATAGAGGCCTGAGGTTTGAATCCATGATGGTACAAGTTGTATGAATGTGTTCCGCTGTGTACCAGGGACACTGACTAGATCAAAACCCTTAAAGACATATTGAGAATGAAGAATGTAGTCATAAAAAAAAAAGGTGTAGAGGCAGAAAGATAGGAATTGGGAGTGAGGGATGTGACATTTAGAAAGGCATGCAAGAGCATTTTTTTAAGTGAGGGGTGTCTGGAGGACAGTAAGCTAAAAGTAATGGGAAAGTATTTCTCTGGAAGGTGTTTCCTCAGAAGCCTGATGATTAGGATTTTATTTTCTTTCTTATTTTACATGTTTGCTTTTCCCCCAAATTACTCTCTTCATGTAGCTTATGCACAAGGACAGAGTAGACATCTGAGGAGTGTGAACTTGTCTGAAGCAATGTTTTTCACTTTGCTTTTACATCTGATGGAATGGCTACCTTTTATTTATGTCTAGCTGCTGGGTATCAGATCGATTTGAATGCCTTATGTTTGAGTGCTCATCTTTGGACTCTACATTTTGAGCCTTGGGAGAGACTGTAGAAGAGCTGTGGAGCAGGAGAGCAGATGAAACGGTGAAAAAGAACTAAAAGGGGACAATGGGTGAGCTAAGTGAAAAACAGAGGAAGATTAGGGTGCAAGGGAGAAAGAAAATAGACACTGCTTGCACAGAGAATGTTTTGTGTTGCGTGTTGTTGTGTGTTACTACTTTGCAGTCAGACCCTAATTCTAGAGCAGGCAAAATCAGCCACTGAAGAATCGGACGAGTAGATGGAAAGGTGGTATACTCCTTTGCCTTCTTAATACCAACAGTTAAAGCTCAGTGCTGAAGGGCCATCTGTAGAACGGAATAGCATGGGTGATGTATCCTGGTCTGAGCTCTGTGGGCTGAAGAAAAGGGGATGGTGGGTTGAATACACTTTCTATTGATGTTTTGTGACAGCCTGTGGTGATAAATGAAGAAATGAAAATTATTAGGATTAACTGGGCTGCGTGTAATAAGTGTGAATGTCCCTGTCTGACTAATGAGAACGCTGTGCTTTTTTCTCTCTCTGAAAAACAGTTATTTAATTTAAATCTATTTCTAAGTTGAAGTAAATGCAAACTATTGTTATGCGAACACTGGAATTATAAGAGTATCTGATTTCATTTTTGCAGTAAATTATTTCTATATAATATGAGTTGAAACAAGAGTCTACCCGCAGCTTCAAATCATTTACTTTGTAAGGAACTCTTTTACTTGGACATCAAAGAACGTTACTGTTCATGTAACAAAAAAGCATGCTTTCATTTTGAGGTTTAGTAAAACATGTACTTCATTCTCTAGTTCCAATGCAGTGCAGAGTACAGACAGCAGAAACCGTTCAACAAGCTAGCTCAGGTACAAGAAGCAATACAGCTATTTGGTTCAGAGTAAATTACCTTGCATGATGCTCTACCTTCACATGGTTATGCCAGTTCTAATATCTGAGCTACCTGCATGGACAGCAGCCCAGAGATCTCTGTGTGCCCTATGCACATTGTGCAGTATGGCTGTACACTGCAATAGATCCCCCTTCTGAACCTTTTATGGGCAAACAAGTTTAATTCCACCTTTCTGAATCATTTAGTCATGCCAAGAAGTAGTTCTTTTTCTGTAATAAGCTGGGGCATAAGCCAGTAGAGAGGAGAAGGAAGAGATGGGTTTAGTTAACATAAAAGTATATGCGTATCAGTACTCAGCAAAGTAGGCAATGATATTTCATAAACCACTATGACGTTTCATTACTCACTATTTTTTCTGATTGTACCAGCTGACAGAAAGTGGATGGAGATCTGGAGGCATGGACAGATTAGAATACGTTTGCAAGGATTTTCTGCTGTTTTATGTTGGACACAAGCAGTTTTTCAGTTGTTGGTGTGTCGTCAGCAGTTCTGTTATCAGGAAGGTCAAGGACACCTCTGTATTACACATCTCAGCAATTTAGAACCTGTTATTCAGTTCCCCATGCCTTGTCGCTAAGGGCTATTTGGCACATTTAATATTTGAACATACTCTACAGAGCCCTATGTCAAACTGCAAGCTGGCGTCGCTCCTCTTGGATCAAAACTTACATTAGAATGGGAAGTCCTAAATCAGAGAATTGTCTCCTTGCAGCCCCTACAGAGAGGCAGAAGTTAAGACGTGTGTCTTAATAAAGCAGAATAAAACTATGTTAAACAGCAAAGCTGAAGAAATGCAGCATGCAGTGCTTTCAAGAGGAAACTCAAGCTTCTTTGTGATGTGCACCCACACTGAGATTCTGTGATGGGAACCAAATGCCCCCAAAGTACCCCAAATAATAACTTACTGGAAAAGTGCAAGTGATAGCATAATGTAGTAAACAAATTTCAGCCTGAACCTCCATGGCTATAGCAGATTTCTTAATCTTAAGGATTATTTTCTGAGAACAATAATTAATAATTGGTCAGGTAAATAGAACAACAGACACAAAGGGAATAAGTTTCTGGTAAATGAATTGTTCTATGTCTAACCATATAGCAACTGCAATTTTTATACAGCAGCAATTTATACAGCAGTATTTAGTGTTTCAGGATGGCATCCTGCAAGGTACTGAGAGCTTTTGATGAAAGGCTTTTGGTGCTGTGGGACTTGGTATGACAGAGCCTCTCCCTCAGCTGATGCTTTCAAAAGCCTTCATGAGTAAAATAAACATTGCAGCACTCCAGTGAGGAAAGAAGGAGTAAGAAATATGTGACTGAAAACAGTCTGTTATTGAGTGACCACCCTTACTAGGAGACAATTAATAAAAGAGGAGAAAAAGAGTTACCGGCATTCATATCAGAAGACAACTTTCCTCTAGTCTTCCTGTCCTTCAGCTCAGAACAGAGGTATCTCCTGCCTGCGGTACCCAGCCCATTGGTGGGAGGCCACTGCGAAATCTATGGGTTTATGTTTTGAAGACCACTTCTTCGAGATCTGGTCCAGCTAACACAGGCCTTTGTCACTCCCCGACCCTATTAAACACCATTCTTTTATTTCTTAAATATTAACTGGGAAGAATCAAAACAGAGAAAAGGAGCTGCTTTGGTAGTTTGTAGTCCTGTCTCTTCCAAGTTTTGTGAGGGAAGGTAATTAAAAGGTAACTATAGGTTCCCTGGAGGCTTACTCATAATGACGGATTCCTGGGTTAGTTCAATTCCAGCTCATAAATTTCTGGCATATAATGAATCAAAACAGGCCGTTTCTGATTGCCTTCTGCTGTTTTGGTACAATTAAAGTTTAGTTAAAATGTATAATTGACTTATGGAGGCACCTAACATTAGGAAAAAAAAACATTTTTCCTCTGGAACCAACAGGTTGGGTTTCTGTTACTTTTGAATCTCTTACAGTTTAGTCAGCCAGTAGACTCTCTTAATTTGGAAGCAGTGACTAATTGGATTGGAACAATAACAACAAAGAAGGAATCCATCTAACACAATGAGAGAGTCCCTTGTTGGACAGCTACACAAAAATTGCATCATTGCTAGCTTCAGCCTGCAATTCCAGCTGAATTTATGTTTTCTGTTCCAGCTGCAATTCCAGATTCCCTATTATCATTAGTCGCATCTAATAAAGCTCTTCTCTTTATTAGTTCTATCAGTATTATGTCACGGCAACACTGAACAGTCTCCCTAAGAAGTTAAAAAATGCAGTTTGTCAGGTGGGAGTCTGGTTTTTGTCCCCATATACATGTTTAGCAAACTTGCAGTTAAATCTTATTAATGAAAGGAGCAGAGTCATTGTTTGGAAGTGAAAGAATAGTTCAGGAAATTTGTCGTTTGGGGCTGGGTTTTGTTAGTGCATGTGTGCACCAGCATATATGTATGTGCCCATGCATGACAAATATCTACGGCAGCTTAGATGAAGCAACACTACAAGTTGACAGCATCCATCGCTGTTGAAACAAGTGGGGCAGATAGTTCTGAGACATCCTGTGTGTCTACATCAGTGGGAGCATTGAAACTAAGCTGCTTTCCCCACAGGCCATCTTATGAGCAGGACTTACTAGTTTCAGTGCAATGTCCACAGGACTCTGCTCTGGCTCTTTTTGGCCTGTATGGCCAAAACATGTAAACCTGTGGAGTGCTCTGCAGTAATTCGGGTATCAGGGCATTGTTCTCCTTTGTGCAGAGCAGGCAGTCTCACAGTGCCAGAAGACAGGATTAGTGGTGTACTTTCACCTTGCTGCTGGAAAAATACGTACCTTCAAGAAAAAATTCTGGGAGAAGTGTTCATGGAAATCTGTTATAATGCGGTGTGCTATGGGGTATATATGTGATGACAATGAGGTTTACAAGGATATGTAGTAGCAGAGCTCTCACATCCCCAGCATCTGAGTTCCTTCATGAGTTCCCCATCATTAACAGAGGAGTGAAAACTGAAGGTAATAAAGATAAAAGCACAAAGGTCTTAGAAATGTCCACTAAGGAGATTTTGGGGACGAAGCTAACGGGTGATTTTGTGTATCTTA